AAGTTTTCTATTTTTCATAGAGACAGGGTCTTGCTCTTACTCAGGCTAGTCTTGAACTCCTGAGCTCAAGTAATCCACTCACCTCAGCCTCCCAGAGTGCTAAGATTACAGCCAAGAGCTACTGTGCCTGGCCCCACTGTATGCTTCTTAAAGGAAATCACTTGTCTGGCTAACTTGGATCACCGCAGTCATCAGCCACTTCAGCTGGGCCACCACTGCTGCTGCCCCATTTGGCCTTAGGTCTCTTGCCCTGCTCTACCTAGTACTCTTTCCTAAGGCTCCCAGTCTACATCTTGCCACTGATCTTTTTTTTCTTAACAGAAATATCATTGAAATATTTTAATTCTTTTTATAATTGTGTATAAAAATATTCAATATATTTTAATAATTAGAAATTGCTACACATCCCACCACATCAATGCAACGGATTTTACTTTTATCCATATTTCTTTTTCTTTTTCTTTTTTTTTTTTTCTCTTTGAGACAGAATTTCACTAGCTAGAGTGCCATGGTGTCAGCCTAGCTCACAGCAACCTCTAACTCCTGGATTCAAACGATCCTCCTGCCTCAGTCTCCCAATTAGGTGAGACTACAGGTGCCCACCACAAGGTGCAGATAATTTTTTTCTATTTTTAGGAAAGATGAGGGCTTTGCTTTTGCTTAGGCTGGTCTTAAACTCCTGAGCTCAAGAGGTCCTCCTACCTCAGCCTCCTACCTTCAGTTCCAAAGAACTGAAATACTTTTCAATGACCTGAAATAAGTTGGAACCATTCCATGGCTATCAGATACTTTATGTAGTTTATTCTACAACCTGGTTTTTGCACTTCTGGTATCATGGGCCTTTTCCCAAGTTGGTACATGTATTTTTTATATTATGATGCTATAGCATTCCATAATAAGGATGTAATGTTCTTCAATATCTAAATTGCTTTCAATTTTCCAATTTGTGTAATTTTTTTATTTTCGAATAGTTAATACATTCCATGCTGCAAAATCAGAAAAAATAAAATGATACACAGTGAAAAGTCACTCTCCTCTCTTAGTTCTCATTAAAATAAGCATTTTAATAGTGTGTAACCCAACCCAGTATGTAACCTTTTTTCTTAGTGTCTCAAATTTCCTTCCAGAGTTTATTTAAGCAGATACAAGTAAATATAAGTGTCATTCCTTATTTTTGTCTTTCCCTCTCTCTTCTTAATTAGAATGTAGTATGAATACTGTCCTTCATTCTGCTTTTTGCACTTAATATCTAATCTTTCCAACTCAGTGATAGAGAGTTTCCTCATTCCTTGTTCTGCAGATGCCTGGCTTCCTGCAGTATGGATGCCATCCTTAATTTCCACATTGTAATCACTGTAGTCATCACTTTGACTCCTGATCCTTTCTCCACCCATTAATTCCAAAACCTTAGTCCATCCATTTTCCACCTCAGTCCCTTTTAGCTGACTTACATTGTTTTCCCCTACAAACATGTTAGGTCTCTAAAAGAGAACTTTTCCTTCACTTTGAGGTTTCTTAAGGCTCTGTAACCTTCAAACCTCATCCGGGTAGAGGTGTCCATAGTCTTCATCCACAGCTTCCATTTTACCACCTATTCTTTCCTTGTCACTTTGTGATCTGTCTTCCTCTTTCTTTCTCTATCAAAACTGATTTCAGGATTTCTATTAGATGGTCTATTCGCAGGTATTTCTCTTTCCGCATCCCCTCTAACATCTGAAAATGGATACCTGTTCCTTCATTCCTTAACCTCCTGTAAAATGTCTTCTGTCCATTCTTCCCCCTTCATACCAAAACTGACCTCCAAGTGATCATCTGACCTGTTAATGGACAATTCCCCCATAACCTGGCTATGGCTCGCATCTTCCGCTCCACTTCAGGTTCTTCAGTAACACCTACTCCCCACCATAGCCTAGCCCTAGAGATTCCATCTTCCCAAAGTCTTCTTTACTCCTCTCCTCTCCTATCAATCTATTGTTATCTGTTAGCCCTAAATCACGTCCTAATTTCTGATCATCTGCACTGTTAATAGCAGGCTCCTAACAAGTCTTTCTCACTCTAGCTTCTTTCTGAAAACAGCAGGGTCACATTATTCCCCTCTTCACTACTCTTATTTCTAAATCAATGAAGCACTAACTCTCCAATCTGATATGCAAGCACTACACAATTTTAACACAATTTAAACACAATTCGACCTGTATTGGCATCAGTTAGCATTATCTTCCCCTGCTGTGGTAAGCATACCCTATGCTCCAGCCAAAGCCATGTGTTTTTCATGAAATGCACCATGTGCTTTTGCACCTCCCAGCTTTGGCTCACTCATTTGTTATCGTGCTTCCCACACACCCCCCCATCTCTGCTATTCTAAATCTCATCCTCCCCTAATGTCACTTGCCATGATGGCTTTTTTTAAAAAAAATACATAGTTTTGCTCTGTCACACTGGCACTAGAATGCAGTGACCTAGCTCACAACAACCTCAAATTCCTGAGTTCAGGTGACCCTCTTGTCCTAGCTTCCCTAGTAGTTAGGACTATAGGCGCCCATCACAAGGCCTGGGTAATTTTTCTATTTTTAGTAGAGATAGGGTCTCACTCTTGTCCAGGCTTATCTTGAACTCCTGAGCACAAGGGATCCTCCTGCCTGGGCTTCCCAGAATGCTGGGATTATAGGCATAAGCCACTGTGCCTGGCTCATGATAACCTCACTAACTTCTCACCAAATGTGTTATACTTATTTGTGCAGGTATCATATTTCCATGCTGGATTCTATATTCTGTTAAAATAGAGGCTGAGCATGGTCGTTCATGCCTGTAATCCTAGCACTCTGGGAGGCCAAGGTGGGTGGATCACCTGAGCTCACCAGTTGGAAACAAACCTGAGCTAGAGTGAGACCCCGCCTCTAAAAATAGCCAGAAGTATGGCGGATGCCTGCAATCTCAGCTACTGGGGAGGCTGAGGCAAGAGAATCACTTGAGCCCAGGAGTCTGAGGTTGCTGTGACCTATGATGCCCCAGTATTCTACCAGGGGCAACAAAGTGAGACTCTGTCTCAAAATAAATAAATAACTAAATTCTGTTAAAATAAAGTACCTAGGGCTGGGTGCAGTGGGTCATGCCTATAATCCTAGAACTCTGGGAGGCTGGGTGGATTGCTTGGGCTCAAGAGTTCAAGACCAGACTGAACAAGAGCGAGACCTCTGTCTCTACTAAAAACAGAAAAAACTAGTTGGGTGATTATGGCAGGCACCTGTGGCCCCAACTAACTGGGAGACTGAAGCAAGCAGATTGCATGAGCTCAAGAAATTGAGGTTACTGTGAACTAGGCTGATGCCATGGACTCTGCCCAGGTGACAGAATGAGATTCTGTTTCAAAAAAAAAAAAAAAGGCAAAAAGACATGGGTGGCACCTATAGTCCCAGCTAATCAGGAGGCTGAAGCAAGAGGATCATTTGAATTCAGAAGTTTGAGGTTGCTGTGAGCTAGACTGAGGTCACAGCACTCCAGCTTGGGCAACAGAGTAAGACTGTCTCAAAAAAAATTTTTTTTAAAGGAAAAGAAAAGAAAAGAGTGGTACCTTGCTGCATTTAGTGAGGGCTTTGGTGTGCCAGTCATGTGCAAAGTGATCTGCTTGAATCATCTCATTTAATCTCCACATCAACATCATTAGACCAGGACTCTCCCGTCTAACATTAAACAGAGATTCAGGGAGATTAAGCAGCTTGCAGCTATCATGCACTTATGATGGTGGAATCAGATCCACCCCCAGGTTCATTTTCTTATTACTTATGATAGCCAGCACAGTACCCTCCACCTACACTGCACTCAATCTGTGTGTGTCAGATCAGCTTTATAGAAATGGGGTCTACCTGTAGGTAGACCAAGTGCTTATGGAGACGAAGAAGGAAGGGATTTAGACAGTGATAAATTAGGAAGGCAAGACTGTCGATGATGTTTCCAAAACTCCACTATTGAGTTATATATCTTTTGAAATGAGCATTTTAATATATAGTCACTAAGCAGGACTGCATCTGCTCTTTCATAGTATAATTGTTATGTGTAGGTTAGTTTTGTCTTACTGATTCTGTTGCTCTCTCCCGGGGATTCTCTCTATTCTCTATGTCCCCCACAGCTTTCAGCGCATTGCTTGCACGGTGTGCGTACTTGTTGATTTTAATATATGTGTGTTGCATATGTGCACAGCAACTGAGCAGAGGACGTGAGTGTGGGATGCAGTGCGCATTCCTTTTCCTCATTCTTGTTCCTTTGAGCAGCTGCAGGGTGGATGGTTTCCTTCTCCGGGAGTGAGGGCAGGCAGAACCACTGACCCTTTAACAAGTTGTCCCTCACAGAACAGGTGTCTCCCCCGACTCTCGGTGGAGAGGGATGGCTGGATACTTAGTGACATCAGCCACGGACCAATGAGAAGTCAGGCTTCGGCAGCCGTGCCAATGGGCGGCCGGGGGCGGGCCGGGTTTCCTGGGAGCCCGGCTGGCCGCTCTGGTCCTGCGGCCGCCGCAGAGTCTCAACCGCTCCCGCCGCCCGCCTGGCTCTGGCGACTCCTGGGGGCTCCGCTGGCGGCGCGCTTCTCCTGTCCGTGCTCCTCCCGGACCCATAGCTCGGGCGCCTCCCGCCGCGGCACAGCTCCCCGCTGCTCAGGTTCCCGCGGTGGCGCGGCTCATGCCCCCGAGCGCGGGGCGCGCAGGCCGGCCGGCCGCCGCTGGGAAATAGGCCCCCGGGGGCGGCGGCGGCGGGACCATGGCGCGGAGACCCGGGTCGCCGGGCGCCTACGGGGAGGAGTTCTCCTTTGTCAGCCCGCTGGTCAAATACCTGCTCTTCTTCTTCAACATGCTCTTCTGGGTGAGTATTGGGGACCGAGGGGGTGCCTGGGCTGTGGGAGTGCCCCCGGAGAGTGGAGTGGGCTGCCCGCGGCAAAGAAGGGGCGGTCGGGATGCCCGGTGCAAGACGAGCGTGGTGAGCGGCGCTGCCTAGTTTTCTGGGCCAATGGCACTTTGGGGAAATTTGTCCTGGGGAGGGACACCACAGTGGCGCTGTGTTTGCAGGGGGTTTTGGAAAGAGGGCGCATTCAATAAAGACATGGCATTAACTGGGTACCGGATGAGGGTCTGTCAGGCCCTCAGGGTGGGTTCAGGGGAGGAGCAGGTTTTCCTGTTGGCCCAAGGCAGACCCATGGTCACGTTCATGATTGGGACTTTCAGTCCTGAGCCCTAGGAGGCCCGGCTGGCAAAGGAAGAAGAGGGAGGGGAAAATCCAAGCCTCCCTTCCCCCTTGCCTCAGAGAGGATGGGTTAAGGGGCTTCAGGTCTTCCTTTTGCAGGCCTCTGGTGGCCCCTTGCTCCAAAGGCTGAGAAGAATGGCCTCCAGGTGTAGATGTTTTTCTTGTCTTTCCCATGGCAACACTGTCCCCACTTTGCCCTGTCCTCTTCCTCAGGACCAAACTACCCTCCTCAGATCTGACAGTCTTCAGCTTCTTTAAGTAGAATCCCGTGTTGTGCTGGAAGCCCCGGGGTGAGGGTGGGGGCTTTTCAGAATCTTTCTCTTGGGAGTGGAAAAGTGGAAAAAGTATTGTATTGGGGCTCCAGACACTTGGGTGTATCCTCATCCCCACTCTGCCATTAATTGTTGACTTGACTGACCAAGGCAAGTATATTCACATCTGCAGGCCTTAGTTTCCTCTGCCATAAAACCAAACCCAGTATGACCAGGAGTGGCAGAAATACTGTGTTGGAGCTAAGGATTCAGCTGGACTAGATCATGAGAAGTTACCTCAATCCTGTTTTGTGGCTAGAGAGTCCCTGGGCTCCTTGGGATTTGAAAACATAGGGAGGTCCTTCCCCAATTCCTGGCTTTCTCTTCCAGCTCCTTCCACACCAGAGGTGCTGCTCTGGGAACCCATCATCCTTGCCCACCTCAGCCAGAGGTCTGAAGTCCAGACTTACAGGAGGAAAAAATCTTGAGTCTAAAATATGTTTCCTAGGAGAGGGACAGACCAGTGCTGGAAAGGTTTCACCAGGGCCATAGGGTGAAGTGCAGACACAAAGTATGTAAGTGCTGGCCTGTTGGGACAAATGAGAGGAATCCTAGAGGGTGGTGCTGACAGCTTACTCTCAGCCATTGTACTCCTGGGAAAAATAAAATTTGGGCTCTTATCAAATTCTCAGTTTTAGAACTAGAAAAAAAATTTAGAAGACATTTTGTAGTTGAACATAGAGATGTTAAATGTTTTGTCCAAAGTCCAACAGCGGTTAGCAGGGTTGTTCTGGTGATTTTTCTACTGGACCACAGTGCCTCTAGGGGAAGTCCTTGGCCCAGGTGGCTGCTACTCTAGCTGGGGTATTGGCAGTATTAGTAGTTAACCAGTCAACCCAAGTTCCCATGGTCTAGGTTCTGCTTCAGCTGGAGGTTAGGGAAAGACAGAAGAAAATCCCCCACTACTCATCTGGGGGCTGTGCTAAGGGGAACTCCCCACCTATAGGCAAGTATCAGTGAAGCCTCTTACAAGCTGAGTGTGCCAGGCCAGTGACATGCCATCCTCAGAGCCAGCACTAGCATCCCAGAGACCTCAGGTCCTCATTCTGACTTATTCTGTCCGCCAAGACTGTCTCCTTTGGAGCCATTGGCACCTCACCCTTGTCTGTGCTCCCCAGTGACAATAGCTGGATGCATCTGTTACACTTGTGTTCCTGGTCTTTTCTTTTTCTTTCTTATTTTTTTTAACTTCACTACCCGCCTTTTATGAGACAAATGACTTTGGGAGGTTGCAGCTAGGAGAGAGTTGGGCTCCATGGAACCATTTATCATGGTAAAAATGCTTCATTCAGGGCCAGAGGACTTGGCTAGTCAAGGTAGCAGCACCCCAAATTAGAGTAGACCCCCTTCTTGGCCCTACTGTAGACTCATAAAAAAGTCGGAGGCTCTAGGAAAGCACACTGCAGGACAAGAGCCCCAGCTTCTTTCTGGCACCAACTTACTGGTGACCCTAAGCCAATGTATCTGTCTCTTTGCCCTTAATCTTTCTCCTCTAAGGGAGAAAAATTTTCTGTCTTGGTGAACTATTTAAAGATGAGCTTTGGGGACTGTTTTCATTCTTCAAGACCTAGGACTAGATCTAAGGACGAATCTCTCTGTGTCTTGGTCTCCCTGGGACGTTGCCTTTCCTAAGGGACAATACTTTTCAGGCATTACTGAATATCACTTCTCCTCCATGCCCACTACTGCAGTGACATTCCACATGCAGTTCCAGTCCAGCTGGAATAAAGGGCTTCTTCCCCAGATCAGGGGGTTACCTTTCTTCTCTTTGCCTCTTCAGGACTGAATGCTGTGTTTTCTCTTTTGCTGAATGCCACCATCCTAACCAAATTCTCTTCATCTGCTCAGGAAACACCCATGGATGGGACCATCAGCTCACACCCTTTGCAGACAAAGTGCACATTCTGTCTAGCTTCTTGGGTTGCTATGTAGGGGTGGTTTGTGTCTGTGCCTAGAACACATTAGGAAAGTGGCCAGCATCTCCTGGGCACACACTTGGTGGTGGCAGTAGCAGTGACTACCTCTGCTGCTGTTCTAGGAGCTTCGCGTCTCGGGGCATTTGGAGTCTGACTCAGAAAGCTGCTGGCTCCTTTGAGTGTTCATGTTTCAAATCCTACTTCCCCTTTGGCCTAGGAGTTCTAATTTTCTTCCCACCCAGGTTGCTGGGTTACTGATTGTTGAGATTCCATGGCCTAGAATAATTGCTCTCAGATCCTAGAAGTTGTGTTTAAATATTTCAGGTAGGCAGTAGCTGTCTTTCCTCATGTCTGTTTGTTGGATAGCTCTGCACAGAGATAAGACATTGGGGTGGTACAAGCCTTATAAGCCTTGGGCATATGTTGTCAGGAATATTATCAGTGCTGCCACCTCCTTCCTTGCTGGTCCTGTTTCCCACCCAGGGTACTAGTTGAATGGCTTTTGAGTCAGGCAGAGCCCAGAAGCTCAGTCCTTCAGTCCCTTTGTCTCAGCCAGGTATCCTTGGTGGCTATGCCTCAAAGGCTCCCATGGCACCTTCTATGTACTTTGGTGGTCACATCGCTTACCTGTGCTGCAATTGTGTTTTTATTTATCAGTCTCCTCCTCTAGACTTCGGGCTTCTGAGAATAGGCACTGCCCTGTTCACCTCTGGATTTGTAGCCCCTAGCTGTGTTTGTCAGAAACTAGGTATTTATTGAATGGTGAATGAGAGAACACCTTCCACAGGACACAGGCCAAATATCCTCCCTCCCTCCCTCACGGACATGGATCTGTCAAGATCCAGCACAACCTGGGATACTTGAGTATTTTTGGTGGTGTGGTACCCAACCAGGTTCTCTGAAATGGGTCCAGTGGCCTGGCACCCCTCTCTTTAGCCAAGTGAGAAAAAGTGGCAGATATCCCCTCAAGCATCTCCTCTGAGCCACACATAATTGCTACCATAACATTGGAATTTTTTCACTTTCACTACAGCATGTATGGACCCTCATTCAGGTTCTCCCTGGGCTGACCCAAGCCACTGGTGGGGCATCTTCCTCAAGAAGTCCACTCTCCCGTCCAGGACCGCTGTATGGGAAGTGCTCAGAATCACTCCAGACCTGCAGCACCATCTTGTCACCTGGTCTAGAAACCATTAGGAAGTAACCAGGCATCAAGCCTAAACCCCCTTCTAAGGAGCCACTCAATCCCCTATGCTCCCTCACAATTCCAAATACACCAGGAGGCAGAGCTCACCTCCTCCCTCTTCCTTCCTACCTTCCCCATACACCAGACTGACTTCAATAACTGAAGTAGCCAGATTCTTTTTATAAAAAACACAAAATAGCCAGGCATTGTGGCGGGAGCCTGTAGTCCCAGCTACTTGGGAGGCTGAGGCAAGAGAATCGCTTAAGCCCAGGAGTTTGAGGTTGCTCTGAGCTATGACCCCCATGGCACTCTACCAAGGGTGACAAAGTAAGACTCTGTCTCAAAAAGAAAAAAAAATGCCTGGGCACACACACATAAAAATGCAAAGTACTGAAAATGAAGATAAGAACCATATCTTTTGCTACGCATGCCTTCTTAACTCTCCTCTTAGCTCTGTTTGCCTTGTAACAAGTAGGAAATCGTAAACTTCAAGCAGCCTTTAAAAAGAATAAAAGAAACCCTAGAGTGCCTCTCAGAGTCTGGGCAGTAGGCTGCATGTCAGACCGGTCAATGTACGTACTGCTGTGAGCCCTCGGGGACTTCCGTTCCTCATTCATAACCTTAGAAAACCAAAACCGGGCTTGGCACTCGTAGCATAGTGATTACAGTGCCAGCCACATACACCGGAGGTGGAGGGTTTGAACCTGGCCCAGGCCAGCTAAACAACAGAAACAAACAAACAAAAAAATAGCCAGGTGTTGTGGT